AATTTAAATTTAATTAATTTAAATGTTCTTTTTACCAATGCCAAAGGCCTTTCAGAATGCATTATGTTTTTGTCAGTATTTGAATAGCCTCATGTGTTTTATTCAGAATGCTCTGCTGCTTAATGGGCACAGGACTGCAAATGCCACTTGAAAATATGAAACCTTTATCTTTTAACTCAGTTTTTCTTTCATGCATAACATGACTGTAAAATCACAGTTGTGATATTTAGCAGCTGTCTTTGCAAAACTGCAGGCAATACATCTTTCACATTTCATTGAGAAGAAAAGAAACTTAATCCCACCAGGATCTCCATTATTAGTTCTTCCTCTTGATTTTTCCCCGTGGGGATTTTGTCTTGGCCAGATGGCTCTCTGACGAATCTCTAGACAGACCTGCACTTGACAAGGGCAAATTGGAAGAGCAAAAATCTATGTTTGAGTAAGGGAATTAAATCTTACCTCTTGTCATCTGGCTCACCATGTCCAACCCAGTCATGGCTGGGTTTTTTTTCGATATTGTACAATTATTTTCTTACTCACATAGCAGCTTACCTTCACTTTCAGTAAAATCTATCAGTAATTAGCCACTCAACTTCACTCTCTATTCCCTTGAATTCTTCCAATTCTAAAGACTATTGTATGAGCCACATCTTTATGCTAGATCCTCTCTCGAGTGAATGTCAATTCAATTTCATCAGCAGCAAAAACTGAAACAGCCTTTTCAATATTCATCGCAGATGTTTATCTTCCTTGGGGAAGAGTGGCTGAATGAAATGTTTGAGAGTCAATTTGATGAGAAATTGTTTATTTCTTGAATTGGCCCTAGTATCATCTTCAAGCATAGGGAGGCTTTTCATTTTCAGGTAGTTACTTTTGTGGTAAAAAATAATGTCAAAAATTGAAAAATAATTTCCAAGTCACGTATTCTGTCATAAATGGTTCTAAATAGTGTAATATCTCCAAGTGTTTATTTCAAATCTTTTCTCTATGGAATAAATAAAAATAACCGTTATTCAGTGCCTTCTCACCTTTGCACCTGGTCTCAGTGTTGTCCAACAATGTGTTCTTTCTAGGTAAAACTGGGTGTTTTATTTCTAGAAAAATAATGAATTGTTTTGTTTCAGTTGTGTTAGGCATGACCAGTAAAGATATAAAATCTACCAATAAAAATATGCAAAAGGGCTTACATTTTGCCTTGTCTACCTATTCTAATGTGATATTCAACTTTTACCCTTACCTCTCTAGCAATATTGAACAACATGGAATTTCACAAACTGGTTATTTCCTTTCTTATTACATTGCCTTTGAAATCAAGAGTCTCTCTGTCTCGAATGTACTTAACTTTCCTCATTGTTCATTCATGTAAATACTGTTCCTTCAAAGCTCTGTTTAAATTTCATGTTTATGAGGCTTTCCCTAAGCATTTCTTTTTAAATGTTCACACATAGTCTGCACTGCTTTCTCTCCTCCCAATCCTCCAATAACATTTCAAAGATTAGTTCATTGAATTAGAATTATTTGTCTACACTCTCTTCTCTTATTAGATTACAAGATTCACAGGTCAACGTACATCATTTATTCACCTTTGGATCCTAGGACCAAGGTCAGTCCTGACTTGGTTATGGGTATTCACTATGTATTTGTAAATAATGGATTGCATAGTATACACTGATTTCTGTAAAACTATTCTTGAATTCTGGAAAATGATACTACTACTTTTTTATATTGAAAACATAATCTGTGACAATAATTAAAAGTAGAATGTGCCCTTTTAAACAGATTTATGTCAAGTAAACTTACTTTGGTGATCATTTTGCAATATTTACAAGTATCGATTCATTATTTCGTATACCTGAAACTAATATCATGTTATATGTCAATATCTCAAAGGAAAAACAGGTCGATATGCTATTTTAAAAGTTTAATTTTTAAAGTTTTCCTGAGACACAGTAAATTTTAAAATTTCTATCAAGGGAAAAAAAGGGGGTGATCTCAATTTATTTATCAAAATTAACTCACATTCCAGTAAAATATCAGTGAAGGAGGGACCTCAGTAAAATATAACTTTCAACTAAAGGTAAATTGAAAGTTAGATCTTGTGATTTCTTTAAAAATGAGCCTTCATGGTTACTTTGCAAAACAGAGAGGAGAGCTGAACTAAATAGAATTAAAGGTGAAACATGTCTATTCTGATTATTGTAGAGGGTGACTAAAGTAATCAGGGAGAAGACTTAATGACCAGGATCAAGAATTCCTCACTTTAGCACTTACAAAAAGTCTAGAATGATCCAAAGTGTATTTTGTACTCTTTTTAGCTCATTTGTAAACTGAGCCAAGAATTCTCTATTTTCAAGCAGACAAAAATAGAAACCAAAGTATAACCGATTTATAAAGTTGCTCATTTAGGAGACAAAAGATCCCACTGTGTTTATTGCTTTCTTCCTTATACTTTTCTGATAACCACAAAGATTTAATTTTCTGTTAAGGTGATTAAAATGATTTTACTGGGAATGTGCCTGGATACTTGGAAGAGAGGAAGCATAGTTTATGAGTTCCAAAATAGTGATATTTGAAAACATGTGCATGAAAGAACCTTTGTAAGCATTCTTGGAATGATTTTTTTTTTTCTCTCAAACTCCCTACCCACACCCAACTTAAAAAAAAGGCTTTGGGTGGAGTTAAGAACTCTTTTCAAATCTTAAACAATAACTGGAAATCCTGAAAATGTAGTCTCCTTTATCCAGAGGAAAAAAAACACTTCCAAGCACCCTCCTCCCTTTTTCCCCTAAGAATTGTTTAGCAAGGGATTTACTTCGTGGTCTCTATTTTGAACAGAAGATTCAGTTTTAACTGCCTCAAATATAATGCCATCTGTGTTTATTTTATCCCAAAACAAAATCCTTTCTTTCCCCAGTATTGCAAGTATATGGCCCTAATAACCCAGATAAATATACCAACTCAACTATTTAAATAAGTAGTGAAATTAGTGAAAGACTTAGAATAGATACCATGAAAATGTATATCTGATTGCACATATAACACATATAAAGCACACCTGTAAACTTAATTGCAACTAAAAACGGAGCTGTCAGGTAAGAAATAAGGTCACAGCACCACCGTGATGCAGTGAAAAGAAGATGGGCCAGGAGCCAGAGGACCAAAGAATCAAGAACCACTCTTGGGCTGGTTCCTCAAATCTAGAACACCTGTGGGGCCCACTTGCACATCTACCTGGAAGAGCAGTATCTGTCATGTGGAAATCACTCAAAAATAAAATTAGAACTTAGTCATATGTATTTTAAATAATTTTTATTTCAAGTTTTTAAAGATTTTTTATTTTATTTTTAATTTACTGTATATTTTTTCATAACTATTTATTCTTCTTATTCCCCACAATCACCACACAGCTGCCCATGTCCATAAATCCTTTTTCCTTTTTGCTTGATCCCTCCACCTCCCAATCTCATCCCACCCCCCACAGCTGTCATCCTGCTCGCTCTCTCTGAGTCTCTCTATTTTGCTTGTTAGTTCAGTTTGTGTATTCGATTCCACATATGAATGAAATAATATGGCATTTGTCTTTCTCTGGCTGGCTTATTTCACTTAGCATGATATTCTCCGGGTCCATCCATGCCAGTATGAGGTGGCATACAAACATCAAACATCATTATATACTCATATGTAGGGTATTCTGAGCTGATTAATTCCTGTAAATATTATTCTGACCATCCTCTAAAGTAAGAAGGAGACTTCATCTCTTTTCTGCCAAGTCTTCCATGGGAAAGAAAATGAATTTTATTTAGAGTGTATATGCATTTTAAAGACTGCTTAAGTTCCATTCATTAATCTTTATTACAGCCTAATCTTTCTTACATAATCTTGACAGTCTTCAAGAATATCCTGAACTATGACTCTTTTTGGTCTTGTTGTTCAGAGAGACATAATCTCTAAAATCAGCCCCAGCTCTGAATTGAGAAAATTTATGTTGTACCAAATTTTCTATTGCCAAGAAATGGAGAATGAATTATAAGCCATCTCAATGAACATCCTTTAACACCTAGTCTTTCCTGGTCCACATAAACCTTCATAGGGCATGAGTTAGGCTGCAACAGGACAGCTCCAAAATCATCCTGATGTTGACATGAAAAATAAAAAGTAAGGAGAACAGATAGGAACTTTGTCGCTGTCTGAAAACTATGGGTAATCCTGATACAGAAAATTCTTAAGTTCCTAATTCTCTACCTTTAATTTCTCATCTTAAAGGCCTGCATAGCACAACTGAGAGTTGTATACTTTTCAGATAGGATTGTACAACCCTGCAGGCAGTTCCCGCCTCTCTATCTCCCTTTGCCCAGAGCATCTCTGAAATCAATTCTTAGGTTGTTATGGAGAAATGCTTAACACAGTCAAAGTTTCACTTTGCTATGTTTCACTGCTTTTTGTAGTTGGCTATCACCTTACATTGTTGATAACTAGTCTATCTTCCACTCTAAACTTGTTTCTTGAAGGTTCTTTATATGCATTACATAGAAAACTGACATTTCATATCTCGACTGTTTTTTATTCATAATGTTTCTTTTCTCTGATATCTACTGGATGAGTTGGACACATGGCAGGCAAAATAAATTGGCCATAATTAAGTGACAAGTTCTAACCTACAAATCTTTCAACAAAGCAGACAACATAATTTACAATGTTAAGAAAGATCAATAACATGAATAAGGTCTACCTAAAACATTGTTATTATTATAAAACAAATTAAGCAATAGAAGTACATTTATTTTAACTCTCTTCTAATCAAAGCAATAGATTTTGTATATTAATTTGCACATTTTGTCAAATAATACTGGATAATGATGAGGATTTAGTATTTTCAGTAGAGATTTTATGTCAACAGCCACTCTTAAAATTTCTTGCCCATACCTATAACTTAACATTTTCTGAAAATATAACTGGGCATGGGAAGAGCATCAACACTGCCAAATCTGACCAATACTCACGAGAGGATGTTCCCAATATAGGCGTAGTAGGAACAGCAGTAAGGTGTGGTCCCATCACAGCAGTACGATCTGCAGTCTTTGCCACACTGAGCAAGACAATCGCCTGCAAAATAAAAACAACATACCTCCAGTTACAGTTCGGAAATCATAACTTCATGAAAAATTATTCTATTTTATACCATAACCACTGAGGCAGGGGTGCCCGACTTTTTGGCGTCTCTGGGCCACATTGGAAGAAGAGTTGTCTTGGGCCACACATGAAATACACTGAGACACATAATCACACACACACACACACACACACACACACACAAATCTCATAATGTTTTAAGTAAATTTACAATTTTGTGTTAGGCTGCATTCACAGCCATCCTAAGTTACGTGCGGCCTGCGGGACATAGGTTGGACACCCTTTAGACTTTTGTTTTAAATGCTCAGCATTCTAAAACATTTGCAAACATCTGAACTAGATTTCCTTTCCTATTAAACATAAAGCCAGAAAAGGCAAAGACCATTCTTCTTTGAATCTCCTGTATCAAACACCATAAGTGGTGGTTAGAATTGAATGAGACAATGAAAGGAGGAACGAATGATCTAATTAAGTAGTCATTCACTTTGTCAACTGAGTTCTTTTAATGATTTTTAAAAGATAAAGTCTTTTGACTTTGGGTATTATTCTCAATTAATTTCATTTAATGGAAAGTGTTAAGAACATGAATAATGTCAACTGGAGATAATTTTAAAATAATGTATATTTTTCATGACAATGCATTATATGATTTCCTTTCTCTACCATTTTTCACTTCCTTAATCACAGTGTACCTACATATGGTAACTCATCTGAGTCTGCATATCTGTCAATGCATTTGATTTGAAAAATAAAAAATTTCCATAGATAATTACTTATGAGTAATTAAGAGTTTAATTTCAGACTTAAGAATCAATAAGCTATTTAGCCATGCTGTGTGAAGGGGGAAAGGTATTTTGTGATTAAAAAGGACATGTTGGAACTAACAAAACCAAATTACTCTCTTCTTTAAATAAGTTTTTGGTAAGGAAAATTATACCAAAAATGTTGAATGAAAATTACCCCGGCTTTTAAAATTTCTTTACTCCACTTAAATAATGTTTAACACATTAAAGTTACCATTTAGTTATAGTAAGTGTTATAAATTATAATGGATATGTGAGTTTCAGGTACATAATAAGGAAAACATTAAATATAGTCTGATAATTTAAGTTACATGTTTGAAAATCACAAAATAAGTCATTTCCAACTCAACCTCTGAAGGTAATATCAACTGTTTTCTAAATTATGTAAGACTCATGCTTTCTTGCTCAAGTCATAACATAAAAGTACAAGATGTTATATTTCTCTCTGCATGCCCATACAATTGATTTACCTAAAAAAGGAAAATTTTGATTTTGCTTTTAAATCATCTCCCTGCCAAGATGATGTTTTTATAAAAGGAGGTGATAAAAAACAGCAAAGTTCATTCATCTTTATCAATAATGCATGACCTTTGTCAAACAAGTGAAAAAAAGTTCACATTTTCTTTCCCTTGTTTTATTTCTACCTCATAAATTAACAAACCTTGACTTCCGGAATGGTAAGAAGAAATGAGAGGGGAAAATAATTACCTTTGTAAAATGCAGTAACTCTGCTTAAATCTACTTGAAAATTTGGAGGACAGAAACACAATCATAATGATTTATTGACAGTGTATGCTTTTTGCAGAGCGCATCAAACTTTTAAAGACTGTTTATTTTATCATTTTCCCAATGAATGTTTATTGCTCTCATTTTTCGTGCTGTTTAATTAATTCAAATATTTAGACTGCTCAGTTGTCTCAAGTACTTAGCAGGAATGTCTTGCTTATGTTCTTAAAAACCACTACAGGCCATTAAGCTAGTGAGAGAGCTGATGTCCCCACTTATTCTGTGGGAGAAGGACAAATCAATGTACAAGTAGCTTCAAGAAGTGCCTTTTAAAATGATGTCCAGGACAGTGACGTCTTACTAAGCTTTCCATGAATATCAAAGGTTCAGTCACTACTCTTGTACTCCAGTAACTATTATTAGAAGAACACGGTGTTATCAAAATATTTTGAGCCAGTGTTACAGGAAACCAAACCTAAAATCTTGTAGCCAAGAAACTGGATTTTACCTGCAGCAAACATCTAGATCAAGTCACAAATTGTTCATTACTTTCATGGCATTTTCCAGTGCTCTTGTCTCCTTCCCAGAATTAAACAACTGAAAAGGGCAGATTTAATAGCACGGCAAATACATTCACAATCATGGCATTTCCAAACTGAGGTACCAAACACACCTCAAAGCTTATTTTGATATGTTAGTTGCTTTCTCCATTGTATTTGAGGCTCATTCTATGAAGATTAGAGTTTGAATGATACAGGAGCATTTTATTGCTTGTAAAAAGATGAAACATTCCAATTATCTTTAGAAAATACATAATATTGTTTCCAATATTCGAGTTAATATCTTTGAAGATCATCCAGTTCAAACTTGTTTTCAATGACCTTCATTAAAGGCATGATCTAGAAGAAAGTTCCCTACCCCCATCCCATCTTAGGGAATGTTTTCTACAGGAAAAGCTGCATCTGGATGGAAACACTTGCTCAGAAAGTTTAAGCTACAGTACAGCTAAGGTTCAGAGAGGAAGGAAAGGGAGGGGACAGAAGTCACTGGCTAAGGTCACGAAGGCAAAACCTTAGCCAATTCTGTCTTTGTGGCTTGCACTGGGAGTTGGATAATAATGTAAACACTTCATTGGGTCTCTTTCCAAAAGTAACTCCACAGTACAACAGGACACTTCAGGTATAGAAACGTTGCTCCCATTTTCCTTAACAAATGGAACGTGAAGTTAATGCGTTTGGGGAAAATAATTCAGGTTCCGGACAGCACATCTATTTGTGCTTTTTGTCCCATTAAAGCTGGCAATTCACTTAACAGGGTGTCTGAACTATTATTATTTCTGCTGTTTTCCCCCATCTTACCCCAGTCCTCACTTCTAAGCATAAGTCTTAGTTCCAATCAAACTGGATTATCTGTTTTTGCACAGACCCATCTCGTGGTTTTTGCCTTTGTACACATTATGTCTTGCTACTCCATCTCCTATGTCCAAGGCTTCCTCCTTATCTTTCAAAGATCTCGTTCCTAAATTCAGTCCTCCTCAATTCAGTTTTTCTGAGCAAATATTGATTGAGTGCCACTTATGGACAAGGCATTTTTAGCTTGTCTCTCAGACTATTATGTTGAGCAAAACAGACACCATCTTCATGGGGCTTACACTCCTAGGCCAGCAGTAAGAGCCTCTCCTTTGAACACTGATGATAGTACATGATTGTACCTCTCCTATGACCCATTAGAGTAATGGACACACCTTATCTCCCAGCCAAAGCTCAGAGCATAGCCTCTGCCCTATATATCACTCACCATATTTCACTCAGTAAATATTAGTTGAATGAATATGGCATGCATGAAAAAGCCTCTGGAATAAGGAGTTCAGGAATTACCACCAAATAACACATTAGCTAAACATTTCTTATCAAAGACACTAGGTCAACCTGGTATTATTGGCATACTTTGTACTTCATCAGGGAGAGATGTGAAAAGAGAGAAGAAATGATGGAGAGACATCTTTCTAAACCAACCAAACTTGCTGCTAGGCAGCTCTGCAGGTTTTCTGAATCTAGGGAGTTGCGCATCCAGCGCTGGATACAGGGAAGGAAATGTGCAAATTAGAAGCTTTGTGTTTACCACAGGGAGTAGAATAGACAATTGATTATGAAAAAGTTATTTTCAATGGTGTGGTTGAGTAAGGTCAAGTGAGGGCATTACAGTTTTATCTGCAGTGTTCCATTTTCTTATTTTTGTATTCTTTTGATAAAGAGAGGAGTTGGAAAGAACACTGCTTCAAATAAACTAATAGATAAAACTAGTATTAATGCAATTGATTCTGTTAGTTCCTCGAATTCAGAAAAACCTTGTGTGATGTAAGTAAAAGAAATAAGTATAAACAGATTAGAATGTGGAGTCTCCTCATTAAATAAAAAGTGCTTTTCCTACTCTTATAAATTTCTGAATTTGAAAGTCTGCATTCTCTGTATAAGAAAATACCTTTAAAGTAATTTATAGAACCCACCAATTTGCATTTTACAAACAGACTGATAATTTCCATAAGAGTTATTGTGTCTCACTTCTGGCAAAGTTGAAAGAGAAATTCAAATCTTTTGAGGTTCACATAACATTGAAGAACATCTTCATTTCAGTGCAGTATCTTTCTATCTATTCAAGGTACTATATACAAATTTAGCATTGCAAGGTCATGGGTACCAGCCTATGGTTTTTGCTCTACGAAATTAGAGAAATGAAAACATTTTGCAAAACTTTTTGCTTTTAGCTTGTTTTGTGACTAGAATGCAGATGCAAAACTCATGTGTAATTAACTCTGTACACGAATAAGCAATGGAAGGCCATATTACTGGGCTCTACGTCAATCGCAAAACAAGAAAACTATTTTACTTCATCAATAATTAGCAATTATCAGCAATGATCACTTAGCGTAATTAGGAGGGGGGAAATGAGATGCCCATCACCTACAAAAAAGTGCTTAACAAAATCCATGAAACAGAGATTAGACTCTGAGTGAATCTATGCCTCTCAAAAACCTTCTATTTGACTCCAAAGCATCCAATTGTCCAAGCTACCAGACTTGAGAATCATCTCCAAAAGAATAAAAACAAAGGTCTATGGGTTTTTGTTTCCAAAGGGAAAAAGAGGAATATTCAGAATACAAGAGCAGAAGAGGGCAGTGAGTACTGAAATTGAAAAGTCACCACATTAATTTATTTGAAAATTTCAGCAGTATCTCTAGACTTTAGGTGATTTTAAAAAAGCTCTCCTTCCAGCCCTTAATCTTCAATCACCCTCTGATTCCTGAGTCGTGGATACTGGATAAATGTTACCCTATTCAGAGAGTAAAATCTCCTAAATGTGGGGTTAGGGCTTGCTTCCACGTTGCTTTGTGGAGAGGAAAAGAAAACGCAACTAAAGAACAGAAAATTAAAGAAGAGAAAATTCAAAAAAGAAAGGAAACGTTAAAGGAACGGAACAAAACAAACCGGCATGGAAGTGGAGCCAAGGGTTCCTGCCCCGCCAGGACCACACAATCTTTGCGCTCCTGCGAAAGTCCCAATGCGTCGGGCTCAAACCGCGTCGCCCGGAGGGTGACCCAAGCGCAGCCCCAGGTCCCCTTCCCCTCTCCCGCTGCCCTGTGTCACTGACCTGCGTAGATAAAGAGCAGAATCAACTTTGGAAGCAAGACCCCGGGACCCCTGAGCAGCCTCCGCGCGTCCATCCAAGCCGGTGGCCGGAGGTTGCGCGCCAGGCCAGACAGACAGACAGACTGGAGCAAAGGCTGGCTGGGAGCGAAGGGAGAGCCCGGAACGGGAAGGGGATGGAGGGGATAGAGGGCGGTCAGATGGAGACAGCACTGCTCCCGAGGGGGGCATCGCGCGGAGACCTGGCCATTGCCCGGGAGCCCTAGAGTCGAGCCCCGGGGCCCGCGCCCAGCAACGCTGGGGCGGAGGTCTCTTTGTCTCTCCCGGTGGTGCTCCGGCGGCGGGCTAGGCGTCGCTCCTAAGGCTCGGGCCACCCGGACTCACATTTCAACTTCGCGGGGGGCACCCTACGCGGGGTGGAGGCGGGAGTGGCCCTGACTCCTCCCCACACTCCAGTTCTTCCTTCAGCAGTGACCCGGGGGCATGACCCTCTCTAGGAGGAACTCCTAACCCTTTGCTTTGGCTGTTGCTATGGAGTTTAGCAAGCTCCTTTTCCACTCTATTCTCCACTCCATTTTTTTCTTTTGAAGCAATGGATGAAAAGATGAAGAACTTTACTTTTTGCCTTTAAACGAAGGTCATTTTCAAGGTGGAAAGTATTGGACAAAGAAAGCCAATGACGAAAATACAGGAGAATTGGAAAGTATACATAGAGTATATAGTATTTCTTTTGAAAGCTGATAAAAATGTTCATTTGTTGAACACTAAAAACACTTCCAATAAAGTCAGGAAAAACAGAACAAAACAAAAATGCACACCATGGTCACTATTTTGACAATGCTATGGAGTTACTGGCCTATGTGATTAGACAAGAGGAAGAAAATAGAATTATGAAAATTGGAAGGAAAATTATCGGTTGCAAATGATATGCTTGATACATGGAAAATCAGAAAGAAGCAACTATGAAGTTCTTATGTGGAGATGAATGACTAAAAATTCAATAGCTTATTTATATGAAATTAAAAATCAGAAAGTTCTCAGCTACATGCAAGAATGAATAAAAGACAGAAATAAGTAAATAGAGATATTTCTCTTGACTGAAAAAATTCAACAGTGTGAAGATACCAATTTTCCCTAAATTAATCTATAAATCTGGGTATTAAACTGAACTCAATAAAAATACCAAGATAATTTTTTTGAAACCACTCTGATTCTAAAGTTTACATGGAAAATAAACTGGTAAGAATATCTATTAAAAATGAGTGAATAGGATAAGCCTGAACATATAATAAATGTAATATCACAATCATTAAATCAGTTTTTTTTTTTAAAATTATACACAGGCTCAATGGGACAGAATAGAGAATATAAAAATAGAGAGATATGCACAGAAACTTATTTTATGGTTTAAAAAGTATCATTTTAAAGTAATGGGTTACTCAGTAAAGTGTGTTGGGACCATGAGTAGGATTCTATGAAGTCTTATCTCCTTTCATCAAAATCAATTCCATATGAATTAAATATTTAAGCATATAGATGCAATTATGAAAGTATTAGATGAAACATGAAAGGATGACATTTGAATAATGACAGAATAGAGAATGTTTTTCTAAGCATTATTTAAAAACCTCAGAAATCATAAAAAAAAAATGAGCAATTTGAGTCCATAAGAATGAAAACTTTCTGAATATGATAAGCCAAACATTTGACTGGCAGAAATATTTTCAATGCACAACATAGAGAGAGGCCTGATCTCCTTAATATATAAAGAGCTTAAAAAAATCAATAAGGTAAAGGAAACAACCAGTAAAAAACTCAACAGGAATATCAGCAGATATATCTCTTTTATGTCTTCTACTGTTCTAAACATTTAGAAGATGCTCATCCTTATTCCCCCCCCAAAGAAAAAAAAAGCAAATATCAAGTTAATATTGAGGCATAATTTTTTGTGTATCAGATAAGCACTCCCTATCCCAAAATACCAACTTTTAAGGAGAACAATGTAGCAATATGCATCGAAATTCAAATGCATATGAAGTTTAATTTAGTCATATATTTTTTAGGAATTTATCCCTATAAATATACTGCTGCCTGAGTGTAAGGGGGTGGGACCATACATTACCTCCCAAACAAATGTAATCTGAAGTTCCTAGAGTGATTTGTGCCCCAGTGTGGGCCCAACCATCACCTGATCCAATAAGAAACCTGAGCAGTTCCTCCTTCTTTCTCAGCCCCAACAGCTGATCTGTCAAGTTTCACTAATTGTACCCTCAACCACCACACAAACATATTTGCATTTTACCCTCTTTCTGCCCTAATCTCAGCTTTTAGTGTCTCCATTATAAGCAGTCCCTTTGCCTCTAAGAATAGTCTCTAGACTGAAGCTAGAATATTTCTTTTGAAACTACAGATTTAATCGCATTCACTCACCTGTTTAAAAGTGGCTTCCTGTTGCCCTTAGCTTAAAATCCAAATATTTAATCCATGGATTTTGAGAAGCTTCATCACTAGATTCTGTCACTCTCAACCTAATCTCAACATTCTTCTGGGGAGCATAGTTACTAAATAAATGGAAGAATGGTTGGATCCTGGAGGAAGTTCCAGATGCATAGAACTTTGAGTCCTAAAAGAAGAAGCTACAGGTATGACAGTGTTTGCAGAGCTGGAGGATTGTATTGAGGATTCTTGTAATGGTAAGATGTCGTCTTCCATGATGAAACTGGATGCAGAGCCTTGGGTGGGAAGGGGGGGGATGGGGGCAGACATCTGTTGATGGAGAGAGACTACTTCTGCCCCGTTGTTGCACACAGCCCTGGGAGAGGCTGGCTGTTGCCCTGGGTGCCAATAGGAAGCTATAGTGTTAGACTAGTCTTATCCAGCTCACATTTGAAAACACAGAGCCTTCTCCTTATACTATTCAACAGAATAGCTAAGCAAGCTTGCCTCCTGGTACTCCATTTTGACAGAAATTCTGCCTTAAAGTACTTAAATGCTTAAAAAATCAAACTCAACTGACTTCCAAAGGCAAAGAAAGATACCAAGCCCTTTAAATAAATTTATTTATTTATTTATTTACTTATTTAAATAAATAAAATGTGGTAGCTTGTAAAGAAAGAATTTGAAGGAAAAATAAGAGCAAGGATATATTATTATATCTTATTATATTATTAATAAAATTATAATTATATTATAATAAAATATTATTATAATATATAATCAACATAAACAATTATTGAGATATTTTTCATTTTGTAAATATTGTCTTTAAAATCCTGTGTGTATTTTACACCTAATGGTCCATCTCAATGTGGATACTAAATTCTATTAAAAACCTGATCTCAATTTTGATGTCATAAAGCGTAGAATTGAAAAAGTAGATACACATACCAATGTTGTTCCAAATATACTTAGAAGTTTTCTAATAACTGAATGAAGCAGTTGTTTTGAAATTTTAATGTAAGTTAATTTAAAAATTTAGTTCTTCTGTTGCACTAGCCATGGTCTGAGGTCCCAAGAGATGTGCAAAGCTATTAGCTACCATATCGGATGGCACAAATCTAGAAAAATGCCCAAATTGTACCATGAGGCCAATTAACTGAGGACTCTGCAAGGCGGGCAACAAATACTACTACAAGAATCCCTTTTAGTGATCCTGCTCTGGCCTGCATGGCTTTTTGTGACACTCCAGCACTCACAAAAACATAGACCTGTTTGTGTTTTCATCTTTATGGCACTTTCTTCTCCAATCAGTGCATGTTACTGATAGGAGGGCTATAGTCATATCCCTGTGATGTAGTGGCAAGAGAGCCTGGGAACGTAGAGTTGGCATCTTCCTTGGAGAGGCAGGCCAATGTAGGCGGACAATTTGCAAGTCACGGTAAAGGTGTTGTAAGAGTGCGGGACAGTTGCAGAGGCCACGTAAACAGCCACTGCTTGCTCCCAATACCGTGTAAGCTCCCAAGTCAGAAATTTCATCATTATGTTCATGATTAATTTATCCAGATCTTCAAACATAGTTTGGCTCAAATGACTCTGCAATAATTTTTGGTTCAATAAATAAGTTCATGGTTCACAGTAGAGAATATGAACTAAAATATGTTCATTTTACTGTCCAGGGAAAATCAGTTTCAATCTTACAGTAGTGTGAGGAAGGCGTATACTTATCTATTTGCTTTTAACCTCTGCTACTGCCAGGATGATTTTTCTGATACCTCCCAGGGATTTCTCTGGATGATAAATTAAAAATGGAACATAAATGATAGCAGAGCTGAAGGGCAGAATGACCTTGAGTACACGGCGAAGAGTGATCTGCCGGTGATTTCGGCAGCTCTGTCAGCCGGGCAGCTTGCTTACCCAGGCGCTTTAAAGAGAAACTGATTTGACTGCAGTCCTGCTCAAGGGAACCTTCAGCAGGTATTGGAGTACCAACTGGCTTTTCTCTACCGCAGAGTTTTTGATTAGATTAGGAAAGGGTAATCGATCCGAGAGTAGTCAATCCATTGACTGGCTCGGGGTTTATGGCATTACTTGGAACAAAAGGTAAGTTCAGCCCATCAGATGAATTCAAATTCAAAACTATCAAAATAGTGAGGCAGGCAATAGTAGGAGCTGAAAATGCAGGAGGGTGGTACTGAGAGAGAACAGGTAACTCTAGCGAGTCGTTTGCTGGCCTGCATTAATGAGGAAGGAGTAACTGAATAAACAGAAACAACGATGTAGAGAAAAAGTTAATTAAATGTATATATGTATACATACGATTTTAAGTCTATTCAGGCTGCTGTAACAAAAATACCATAGACTGGGTGACATATAAAGGACGGAAATTTATTTAATTCTGTCATTTGCATGTAATTATATTAGTCCTGGAGGCTGGGACATCCACGATCAAGGAGCCGGCGGATTCCATCTCTGGTGCAAGCCCATTGCCTACTCAGTGCCTTTTCGCTGCAGCTGTACGTGGTGGAAGCAGCTAGGGAGCTCTGTGGGGTCTCTTTTATGATAACATTAATCCCATTCTTGAGTGCTCCCGCCTCGCAACCTAAGCACCTCCCAAAGGCCTCATCTTTTAATACCATCATTCTTCGGAGTCAGGATTTTAATATATGAATTTGGGGGGTACACAATAATTCAGATAATAGCACATATGTATACATATTTACACAAACTGTATACACAGCTATACACACATACACATATATATTCACATGTATACATGCATGCATACGCGCACACACATGATTAAACTTTAATTATATCATCTAATTGTGTTTTGGGTTTCAAGTCAGATGTCACCTATTTAGTGGGCCTTCCTTGACT